CCAACTAATCATCGAATGAGAAACTAAGTTTTACTAAAAATAAAAAAAAAGTACGAAGTTAATTTCAATTAACTCCGTACATCACAACACATATTTGTACGTCACCTACAAATTTAACAACATAATATAAATATAATTTCCCAACACAATATAAACATAACAAACTAAGTTCAACATAATTTAATTAATTTTATATTTAAAAAAAAAGAAGAAAATACCTTCTCCATTGTTCTCCACCAATCGCTAATCACACACAATATCCCTATAGACAATGAAATTAATGGTGTTAGTATGAATTTACATTAATACTTTTACAATAACAACAAAAAACATTTACCAGACATACCTAGATAGCTCGATCAACCTAGAGAAGAAGATGGAGGGAGTATTAGATGATGAAATAGAGAGAAAATGAAAATGACGGATGCTGGATTGCGCAAAATCGAAGGGATGAGTGCAGTGGCACAATTTGCAATTTTTTTTGCAGTTTGCCTTTGCACATGGCTTAATCCAGATTAAAAAGTTCATTTTTGGACGAATGATTTAGCGCGACGAACAAAGTCTTCGTCATGCAAATACTATTTGTGCAACAAAATAAGAGTCATTCGTCGCGCAAGTTTACCATTTTTTAATTTTATTTCCTTTACTTTACAATTTATTCTTTTCAACAAATTGCGCGACAAACAATATTTTTGTCGCGCAAATGATATTTGGGCCATTTGCGCGACAAAAAAAAGTCGTTCGTCACGCAAGTTTACCATTCTTTTTATTTCCTTTATTTTACAATTTATTCTTTTCAACAAATTGTGCGACAAAAACTTGTATTGTCGCGCATTGCATATTTTTTAATTTTTTTTAATTTTTTCTGTTTGATTTGTATGTATTATAAATTTTTATTTTATTATAAATTTAAAAACTCAAACCTAATTAAACATTAAATTAATTAACAAAACTAATTTACTATCCCAAATAGAAATTATAATTAATTTAAATATTAATACTAATCCACGTAACATAAATTTATTAATTAAATTTGATATAAAGTCCACAAAATCTTATTTATATAAAAAAAAAAAAAAAAAACAACCCTCCTCAACTTCAATCCTCCCTCGCCTGCAATACATCGAGCTTCCACTACCGAAACCGCTGCTTGAAAAGCCCATCCACATAAATCCGTTGCTTCTCATCGGTTTGATCAATATCCCAATGAACCTACATTAATGCCAATAAAAATAAATTAGTAATTTAAAAAATATTACTTTTTAACAAAAATAATTGTTCATTATTTACTACAAACTTACCGATAACTCCCTAACATGTACTTCTACAACTCCTAAGGGACCGACCTTTTTCCAAGACTCAAACTCGGCAGAATAATCCCTCTGTACCAAATTTCCAATGTCATACACAAATTTGGCGTACGCCTCAGCCATATTTTTGCCTCCAAAGTACAGCACTTGCTTCCGTCAATACCTCTCTGATCGCACTACAAGTTTTCTTTTGCTGGAACCTTCTCCAGAATCGGCCATTCTTTTCAAAACAAATTTTTTTTTATTTTTTATTTATTTATTTATTTATTTATTTTTTTTTTATTTTTTTAATTTTAGGGTTTTGAAACTGCATTTGTATAACACTAGGATACCTTTGCACGACGAACCCATTCATCGCGTAAATCTTATGTTCGTCGTGCAAATCTTGTCATAAATGCGCAATAAATAAGGTTTGAACGCAGTCTGACCGTCCTTTGCGCGACAAATACACTGTGTTCGTCGTGCAAAGACATCTTAAGCGACGAAAGTATCATTGCGCGACGAATGAAATGATTGTAATATAAAATTTACGTAAACATAGATAGATATCCATGTTTACGTAAACTTTATAATTACAAACAAATATTCACAAACTATTTAATACCTGAATTATTATTCTATAAATAGTTAATACCTTAAATATTTATTCTACAAATAATTAATGCCTTAATCCATACAATTATTTTCAGCATAAGTACGATATTCATTGAAGATTAAAAACACATAAAAACCGAGGATAGCTACTGTGCTTACATTACATCTCAATAAAAAAACTCAACAGGAATTGAAACCTAATTAAGTCCAAATACATAAATTATAAAAATAACAAAACCTTAAATTTAAATATTGTCATACAAAACATAAAATTTAAACTACTATTTGGATGATCCTGGTCCATTCTGCAAGACTTCATAGTGCCACCGATTGTAACCTCCCTCCAACACAACCCCTAGCAACTTCATCAATTGTTCTTTCAGTTCATCATCACAAACATACTTACACTGTTACACATATATGTAAATAATTAATTCCAACATATAACTAAAAATCTCACAACCTTAATTATTGATCCATTAACAATATACTTACTAATAGTTCATCCATCATAGTCTTCTTCACATTCCCGGACACATCTTTCCCGGAACCCTACTTAGCAGTGGGACAATTATTTCCCATAGCTACAGCAATCGCATGAGCAAACCCAAAATGCTCCCTCAAATCATGCGGGTTGGCGTCGCGCACACTCTCATCGTTGTTTTTATCCACCATCTCAGCATGAACAGAATTGTGAAGAATTAGGAAAGCATAATTGTGAAGAATAAGGACAGCAGAAGTGCCTATTTATAGCAAAGTTAGGATCTTTGCATGACGAAAGTTTTATCGCACAAACATCTGTATTAAATGTGGTGATAATTCCTCGGATTCACTTGCATTAAATAGTCAAAATTGATTGGAACTTGCGTGACGAACCATTGGTCGTGCAAATGCCCATTTTCGTCACGCAAGTATTTCGCACCAAATAAAATTACTCCACATTTTCTTGCTAACTTTAAGCGACGACAACTATTATTCGTCGTGCTAAGTATCCTTTCTATTTTGCATAACGAATGTTGTTTTCTGTCGCGCAAGTGCGTCTTGTGCGGCGAATTATTGTTCGTTGCTCAAGTTGTTTTTTCTACTAGTGATCCCCACAATTGGATTCGGATGGGATCCAAATTCTGAAAAATTATCTCCCTGATGATTATTGATGGTAAACAATATATTATAAAAAGAGCCTTAGACTTTCTATACATGATCTTTTACCAGATTCTGACGGACATTTCGTTATCTATCTGTGCAGGCATTATCCTTTTTGTTATTTTTTCTTTTTCCATATTTTACTCATTTTCATTATCCTGCTTGCAACCTTTGAGTTTAAGTGGCAGTAGGTTGATTTAGCCGATCAGGACAATGTGTTGGCATTTTCCTCTTCCGCAAGTTAAACTAGTATCATTGTGTGTGTATATAAACCTTTGACGCAATTGTTTTCTGAAAAGAAAAGGACCTTCAACCTAATTGCAGGATAATCTACCACAAAAATTCTACGTCAATTATGATGTCAATCCCTTGTCTTGATATTAATCAGTACGAGCGAAGTGCTCGTCTTTGACTAAAATTATATAAAACACAATACCTTCAAAGTAATTAATTTATTGTTTATAGTCTTGTTCTATGAGGTTACTTGTTCTCTGAGGTTACTCACAATCGTATTTTATGCTATACTTATAGGCCAACTAGGAAGTATTCGTTAGAAGTATTTTGTTAAACTAAAGTTATTTATTTATTTTTTATTAAAGGAAAATGAAAAATATATAAAAAAAACTCAAGCACACTTCTTTAGTTCTTACGATCAATTGAAAGGGTTTCCAATGGAGACATCCACCGCTCAATTTTTTCTCAAAATGCGGTTATACTTCGGGTTTTGCTGAATGCAGTAAAATTGCAGTTCTCTAGAAATATTTCGGGCATTAGCAAACACACCCTAAATGTGATATAAGTAAGAGGTTTGAGGTTCGATTTTTGTCAAAGACGAAGTTGAACTATATTATTATGGCTTGCATAGTGTGAGGCTTAGTCCACTGTCCCAATCCCCTTAATGTGGATACTATCGTTGTTAAACAAAAAAAATGTGATATATAATAAAGTAGGTTTGATTCTCATAGAAGGAGCAATTGAATCACATTATTATGGCTGCTATAGTGTGAGGTTTAGTCCACTCCCCCATCTCCTTATTGTAGATACGATACATTTGTTAAAAAAAAAGAGAAAAAGATATAAAGTATGCTAAAAACAAGAACTTTTATATTTGGAATGTCAATATATGATGATATATTAAACTAATTAAGAAGTGCTATGTGAAAAAGGTATGTAAAACACACAAAAAAGTGCTTGATTATTGCAAAATATATTCCTATATTGTAAGATACATCAAAGTTTGAATCCAGAAAAAAAAAAAAAAAACAAATTGAATTCAGAACGCTGTGAGTTGAAATGCGAAGCTAATCCACTATTTGCACATGATAGTGCTCCTCGCACGTGAAAGTGCTTGATTCACTTGAGATGTTCCAATGGCATCCTAGTAGTTGAAGGTGTAATGCTTTATATGAATAGTGCGAAGTTAATTGCGAGCAAATATAACATATTCAATTAATAAATGCTACGCTTATCACTTAATTTTATTATCTCTCTAATAGAGGTAGGACCCGTAAACGTATCTGAATTCTATTTTTATGAGAGATATAGTACAAATAGATAATATGAATAATATTTTTAAAATATAGAGTACAAATAAATAGTAAAAGTAGTATTTGTGAAAGCAATATATAGATCATGCAGTTATTATCTGTCACTGACTCGCCGTGATAATTGATGAACATTCTTATTATGATTCACAAAAGTACTTTACATCACGAACACATTTGGGCTTTCCCTTCATAGTACAACCCGAGCTTTTTATTAGCTGGCCACTGTGTATTTCTCTTCTTTGATGCTTCACGTACACACGTACAGGCACACAACACGAATGAATAAATCCAAAAAATAATGAAGAAATTAAAATCTTGAACTTGATCAAAGTTTATTATACAAACCCTAAAGGATAATGCAGTCACACCAACGTAGAAGAATGCAACTGAAAATGACGTGGCTTTATTAGTAACTTGGACGATGACTAGGAGGAGCATAAGAAGGCCCGATCTCAGCTGCACCACCACCACCATATCCATGTTGCTCTACGGGAACTGCAACTGGAGTTGGCTCAGCACCATATCCTCCTCCTCCAACTGCTGCTACTTCGGCACGTTCTTCTTCTTCCTCAACACAAGGAATAGGTGCAGGAACCATCACTTTCTTCTTCTTCTTCTTGGCAAAACAAAAGAGACCGACCAAGAGGAACGCAAGGAAGAATGCACCACCCAGGGAAACGCACACGGCGATAACGGTGGTGTGGTTTTTCCCAGGAGGCGGTGCAACGATTTCGAATGAGGGTGGTACAGCGTTAGGAGGAGGAGCGTTGCCGTAATAAGTAGGTGGAGTGTAATAACCGGGAGGGAATGCAGGTGGTGTCGCGCCCTTTGGTGGTTTTGGTGGTGCCGCCTTTGGTGGGTGACTGCCTTTTGGTGGTGACGATTTGGGAGGGTATGGCTTTGGTGGAGATGCTTTTGGTGGGTATGGCTTTGGGGGTTGTACTACAGGAGGCTGACTAGTCTTTGGTGGTGATGCTTTTGGCGGGTAGGGTTTTGGTGGTGATGCTTTTGGTGGGTATGGCTTCGGAGGGTGTACTGGAGGTTGGCTGGGCTTTGGTGGCGATGCTTTTGGCGGATATGGCTTTGGTGGTGATGCCTTTGGTGGGTATGGCATCGGAGGGTGTACTGGAGGTTGGCCGGGCTTTGGTGGCGATGCTTTTGGCGGGTGCGGCTTTGGTGGTGATGCTTTTGGTGGGTATGGCTTCGGAGGGTGTACTGGAGGTTGGCTGGGCTTTGGTGGGTGTACGTGTTCAGGTGGTGGAGCACTATAAGAAGGCTTTGGTGGATGTACATGTTCAGGTGGTGAAGCACCATAAGAAGGCTTTGGTGGCGATGCTTTTGGCGGGTATGGCTTTGGTGGTGATGCTTTTGGTGGGTATGGCTTCGGAGGGAGTACTGGAGGTTGGCTGGGCTTTGGTGGATGTACATGTTCAGGTGGTGGAGCACCACAAGAAGGCTTTGGTGGATAGACATGTAAGTGAGGTGGTGGTGCCTCATGCTTCGTTGGGGGCTGTGCTGGAACTGAGGGTGGTAGTGGATGAGGTGGTGAATAAGTTGGAGGTTTAGGATAGTCATGGTGGTGTGGTGGTGGAGGAGAGGGAGATGGTGGTTTAGGGTAGTCATGGTGGTGTGGTGGTGGAGGAGAAGAACATGGTGGTTTAGGATAATCATGGTGGTGTGGTGGTGGTGGAGAAGGAGATGGTGGTTTAGGATAGTCATGGTGGTGCTCAGGTGGTGGAGGTTTTGGATAGTCATGGTGATGTGGTGGCGGTGGAGACGGTGATGCTGGTGGCGGCTTAGGGTAAACATGGTGATGATGGGGTGGGGGAGGAGGTGACTGAGGTGGTGGCTTCGGATAGTCATGGTGTTGGTGAGGCGGTGGTGGTGTTGGTGACGGTGGTGGCGGAGGATAGACTTGGTTATGTTTCGGTGGTGCTTTTGGATGGTGGTGGTGGTGGTGGTGATGGGGGGATGGTGGTGGTGGTGGTGAGCTTACGGGGTTACATGGCAGAGGAGGAGGAGGAGGAGGTGGTGGAGCGCATGGTAGAGGAGGTGAAGGTGGTGGTGGAGAGTAGTAGGGGTAAGCCATATCCTTGTTATGGGGAGTTTGAACAAATGTTCCCTATCACTCTCACTCGCTCAGCGAATACTAGACAAGGAGATGGAGCGAATGAATGGACTTGCGTGCTATATTTGTACTAGTAACTAGGAAGAAGGCTCTTGCAAGTTTCCAAGTCTTGGTTAAAATATTTTCATTTTTGTCAATTACATAATAATTGAACTTAATCTTTAAAGTATATACAATTAGTTGTCCTTAATTATGTAAAAATAAAAAAATATATGGAGTGGTGGCCTTTGAATTTCATTCTCTCTGGGGCGAGTGACCTACACAAGGATCCATGTGTTACCAAGCATATCCATTATTTGGGCGGGTCTTTATCTATTCTTTCTAAAAAGTGCAACCTGACTTTGTAATAAACAAAACAACCACGTGATGAAATGAGAAAAAAATTATCCACTTTGCAAGCTCATCAGCGGCGATAATCATTTTGTTCTTTGCATCTAGTGCTGTACTGCTGTTATATAAAAATATATTTCTGCCTTTTCAAATAACAGAAATTAAGCAAATTGCAAAAAATTAGTCAAATTGTTGAATATACAGCAACTAGCTAGCTAGGTAGCAACCTTTCCGACCAATCAATAAGTTTTGTATTTTAAAATGAAATTTCTTCTGACAAAAGTTGTCAATTTTTTACGCTATCGCATCATTAACTTCCTATTCTTACTTAACCCCATGTGGTTAAGGAGGTCAGCCAAGTATTGTTTTCTCTGTAACTTCATGAAATGTTTAATTTGTATCTTCCAAATTCTTCCTTCCCCTGTACATGCTAACATTTTCCATATATTTCTGTAATTAATCTTTATTAAAGTTTATTTCTATTTTTTGTTACAAAGGGAGCCCAAAGAAAAGTAAAAGTCTATATAAAAAAAACATCAACCCAGAGGGTTCGCAAAAAAAGCCCGAGTCTGAACAATTTCACCTTAATTATCTACGTGGAAAGCTTGCTTTTGTGCATAAAATATTGAGAATTATTGCACATCATAAAGTTTGCTCGAGAATATATTTTCGAATAAAATCCCATGCATATTCAACATGAGCTTGCCATATATACCACATAATACATAACTGCTACTTTGGTATATTTGAGCTGTCGAGTGTCGACAAATAAAGTCACAACGCGACTAAACCAAAACACATGCAGATCAAAATATAAAGGTGAAGTCAACTGCTGAGAATTGAAAGTAAGGTTCGTATATGAGGAGGACAGATAGCACTTGGATCGCATCATTCACGTAAATAATTTAAGCATTTTTTTGTGTATTTTTATGGCAAGATTTGTCCCACACACTCTCATTTAAGTAAGTGTCTAAGTTTTCTATAATCTCCAAGGACAAAAATTTATAAATAAGAAAATTAGACAAATACCACTCATATTACACATTTTATTGTATTTTTCCACTTAAAATAAAAATTGAGTTCATTTATTACCTTCTTCTTTTCCCACAATGTGCGACTTAGAGACTAGCTTTTTCCAATAATGTAAGTTCGTCTAAAAATATTGAATTTGCTTCAAATGCTATCCTTCAAAAGACTGCAACGATATCATTCAAACAGGCTTAGTACAAATTTATTTTGTATCCATAGGTGACTTATGGCAACAAAAATCGACGTTACAAATTAATTAAAGGATAATACTGGATACTCACTAGTGAGTACTAACCTTTTGATTGTGTCGAAAAATGTTTTAACACGTTTTTTTTGTTAAAAAAACAAAAAAACAAAAAAAAAGAGAAATTAGGTTCCTGTGGAGCCAAAAATTATCAAGAGACGACACATGAATTTTTGGGTAAAAAAGACAAAATTACCTTTGAGGAGCACCGGAATTCCCACGCGCGAGTAGTGGAAAATCATCCCACAATCAAGTCAAAAGTGCCCAAAATAGGTATTTATTCAAGACCTATTTCATCCATCTTCTCCACAAGAGGTAACCCAAAAAACATTCCTTTTAAATTATGTTAATTAGCTAATTAAACTATATATACTACTCCATTTTCTCTAAAAACCGGGGTCTAGACTCTTGCTAAAGATTCAAAATTCTCCAAACACTTTTTCCTCAAAATTCTAACTTTGGCATCGGAGGTTTTTTGGCCAAAGCCCACCTCCCCTCGCCGCCCCCCCCCCCCCCCCCCCCCCCCCGGCGGCCACACCCCAATTCATCGTGGGCACGTGAGGCTATTGGCCTTGACCTAAGGTCTTATTTGTTTTGTAGGTGCAATTTTGTCCAAGAACAAGAAGGAAAATATTTGCATCCACAGTTCCCATCCCTCTTTTTTCTACTCCATTGATTAAAACCTTATTCCTTTTCAAATTTTTATTAAGGTCTTTGGGTTTTAATAAACATCATTAATTATATCAATAATAAAATATTTTACATGTCAAGATAATTAAATTTTATTTCTAAATATACTCATTTAGTGTTAGAAACGTTACACTTGGTATATTTATATTTATGGCTAAATTTTGTATCATATATTTTTATTTTTTAGTTTGTACCCATTTTTAATTTGCAACCTTTTTTTTTTAAATTGTACCAATTTTCTTTTCAGTTTTAGTTTGTACCCATATATTAATTTCTTTTTATATCCATATTTTAAAAAAATTTCTTCATACTCATACTTTTTTAAACTTTTATTTGTACCCATAATTTATTAATAATGTAACTATTTTTATTTAAAATAGTACCACTTCGTTACATGCAAAATGTTTCAATTTGTTTTTGTAAGTACCATTTTTATGTAAAGTTTACTCATTTTCCAATGTAAAATCTATTTATTTTTTAATCTAAAAGGTACCTATTCTTTTTGATATACAATATACCTATTTTTTTTTATATATAAAACGTACTATTTTTTTTTATAACATATACCAACTTTTTGTATGTAAAATGTACTCACATTTTTATATAAATGTACCAATTTTTTATATATAAAATGTACCCCAGTTTTTTTATATGAATGTACTCATATTTTATAAAAAAAAAAAAAAAATCCCCTTTTTTTTATAATCTAGAATGCACCCATAAGCAATCATTATTATTTTTCTTGAAAGCCATAAGCAATTTTGAATAATTGAATTGGTAGTGTAAATGAATGCAAAAAATAAAGGTTCGAGTTTTTATGGTGTTATTTGTGACAACCCGTCCCGGATTATTTGTACCGTAGGGGTAAAATGACGGTTTTGTCCCTAGTGGATAATTGTTGTTTGTGTGGTTGTTTTGGGTTCTTGGTTGGTTGCATCTTAGCCACACAACCATCTTCATTTCCATCACCCTCTTCCGTTGACTCTCTCTATCCCGAAGCCTCTCTCTTTCTCTCTTCTCTTCACCATACGTACGGACAAGACTAAAGCACTCGGAAACTTGGTAGATCGAGGAAGAAAATTATACATTTGTGCTCGTGAGGTTCTTAGGAGTTCAACCATACCCATTTCAGGTAAGAGAACCTTCGTTTTCACGTCAAACCCGAGAGGTTCATTTCGGAGTACTGTTCATGCACACGTAAAGTCATGTGTTTTTGGGAATTTCAAGTTTGTAGGAAGCTTGGTGAGGTCCTTAGGAAGCTTGGGGTGGTTCGTTTGAAGGTTTTGGATGTCGGGATCGTGAGTTGCAGGTTTGGCCGGATTTCGTGGAGTTTTTCCGGCGAGATTCCGTTGGTTTTAGTGCATGAAAGTGGTAAGGATTTGTTCCTCTAGTTGTAAGCTTCATTTTGGTACCAATTTCGTGAAATTTGGGTGAAAAACTAGTGAGTTATTAAGTTTAGAAAATTTCCCGGTTTTCCGGTGACGACGACGGTGGCGGCGGCGGCGGCAGAGGTTGGCCGGAGAAGACGACGGAATATTCCGTCAGTTTGGATGGAATATTCCTAACGGCGTTAGGTTAACTTTAACGGAATCTGTCAGAGTTAACGGAATATTCTTGACGGCATTAACTGACACTGTCAGTATGCCAGGCACGTGCCTGCGCGTGGGCGGCGTGTGTGGCCGTGCCTTGGCTG